GCTTGAATGGTATGCCCAACAATGAGGAACATTGCCCAGCACATTCCAAATGTTGAAATATCCATGTAGTGGAAAAGAGCAGGTAAAGCGACCGGAGATGAAAAGTCGTACAGCGCTTGGTACCTTGGTTTTGGAAACACTGGCAGGATGATGTAAAATGCATTGAAGTCTTCTGGATTCCTTTTCATCTCTTGAATATTTCTTGGCTCCAAGGAGCTAAGCGATGCATCATCATCTTCAGAATGATAAGGAATGCCAAAATTCTGCGATGTAGTGTGCAGTGGCAAAGGTATCGGTTCGAAATCATTGTCATCGAAGATTGAGCCAAAGTTCTCATCGATTTGTTCTTGTTGGTCCAAGATTGTCCCATTGTAATAATCTGAAGCCATATGGTTGGAACTAGAAGGTACAGCTGATACAGGTGGCGTGTGTGGTTCCTCCGAACTGTCATTGTCACTTTCGTCTGAGCTGACGAAATGCGACGCGGGTGGAAGACGTATGAGCGCATATGTTGCTCGGTCAGCTATTTGAGACCGAACCGATTGGAATCCCTGACCAAAAACGGATGCATTCTCATCCAAATTTGTATGAGGTCGGTTCCTAGCTGAAAGGGATTCACGAAGTACTGATTGCTCTCCATCTCGAAACAACGAGCCACGACCTCCGCTTGATATGCGCTTATTCTTTACTGTTTTCGCTTTTTTCACTCTCTTCATTAGGGACACAGTCTCGGGGTCGTTGCGATTGAACTTAGGGTGCGAGTCTGAAAGCAATAGTTAGTATATGTCAGGTGAATTTGAAGCTTCTGATAAGACAGAAGTTTTCAACTTACAAATCCCAGTATGACTTCCCGTTCTGATACAATCAAATCCATGGGCACACAACGCTCGAGTAAAGCTAGAATACTTCCGAGTATTGAAATACTTGGGAAGCAATTCACTTTCGAACTCTTCTATATCATGTACTCTAAACGCCGTCCCATCGTTCATCCATGATGCGATGTGCTCATGATCATTTTCTTTGCAGAATTTGAGTACGTTGTAGACTCTGCGAGGGAAGGAGATGTGACTGCTCGTGGTTTTAGCTTTGGGTTTGGTGTCTGCCATTGTTTATCTACCGCTAATATTCCATTTGAGCAGACAGTTGCTGGATGCATTCATTCATCCATTGGAGGCCGTCGCCTGACCGTCATCCATGGGGTTTGTGCCACAGCTTTCTTCTCTTCCTACGAACCGTATCATACATACACCTGTACGTGTACGTGTACGTGTGGCGGTACTGGTACGTGTACATTGTAAATGTAGAAAGGAAGAACTTCGAACTACAGTATGTTCAACGTTCGACACGCATCCTTTTGTCCTCACCTACTTATGACAAACGGGACCCGAAAAGCTCAAATATGATTCGACCCCGGATGTTTATCACAAAATGAGCTGCCCGCAGAAATAACCTCAACACGGAACCAAGTCACCAGCCACCAAATGTGGTTCTACTTCATGGCATTATTCGTAAGACTGAAGGGGGTCAGCGATATGAATGACGACATTTAGTAGGCTAGAGAGGTAAACTTTGATGTTATATATTTGTTGCAGCAGCTGCAAAAGTAGGGTCGACAGAACAATCGCATCACCACAGCCATGGAATATCCGGCCAACACTTGTTGAAACTGGTTCATTTGTTGAGATTCAATCTCCTAAAAGAATGACTGATAGTCCCCACTATTCGACAACACACATTTGCTCTCATGGTATGGCTGGAAATTGGGGCTTTTTCAACTTTGGCATCACTAGTACAACGAGTTGTGTGACACAATCGAATGTAGGAGCTTCATTCCTCCTTCGATGAATATTGAGGAGGGAACGAAGTTGCAGTGAATAGTCAACTATTTGAATTTCTTGTCATCATTCGGACCTACCAACCTTGCAGGAATTGAAAGCAACAATCTGTAGGATTCGCATGCGAACAATGGGGTAAGGTTCATGAAGAAGACTCCAGTCACCTTCAGATTTGCCATATCCGAATAATGCCCAAGACAAATACAGAAAGCTGAAACCATGTACCCCAAAAAGAGACATTTGATGATATCGGATAACCACCATTCTCCGTAGACGAATGGCCGGCCCTTTTGGCTGTGAAAGTGATGATAGTGTGACTTCAGACTCATCCCAAGGCTCGGAGAGTTGGATAACATAAAGGAAGTGGCCAGCATAACGCTCGACGATCCAAAGTATTCTGGAATCAATATCATAGCCGAGAGGAGAGATTGCACCCACAATATGTCCATGAACATGTGCTTCCCCAAACTAATCTTTGGATCCACAACCAAGTCCCCTGTATTCGGTCCATATGCCGTAAATAAGGATTGGATGGTGTGCCCAACAATGAGAAAAATTGCCCAGCACATGCCAAATGAGGAAATATTCATGAAGTAAAAAACACCGGGTAGGGCGACTGGAGATGAATAGTCATACAGTGCTTGCCACCTTGGCTTTGGAAACATTGGAAGCACATCGTAAAATGCATTCAAATCATCTGCCTTGTCTTCCATCTCCTGAATAGTTCTCGGCTCAATCGAACACAGAAATGCCTCATCTTCAGAACGATATAGTGCGCCGGAGTTCTGCAATGAAGTGTGCGGTGACCAGGGTATCGGCTCAAAATCATCTTCCTCTGGAGCACGTGGGTCTTTCGGTGATAAGGGAATCGGTGCAAATTCATTATCGAGGATTGAACCAGAGTTATGAGTGTGGTCATGCTCGTCTTGTTGGTCCAATGTCATTATATTATAATCTGGAGCGATACGATAGGAACTAGAAGGCACAGCTGATGTCGATGCTGGTATCGGATTGTATGCTGACTGTTCACCCGCACTATTGTCATCGCCACTCTCGTCTGAACTGATGAAATGTGCCCCTGGTGGAAGACGTATGAGCGCATTTGTTGTTCGATTAGCTATTTGAGACCGAACCGTTTGGTACAGCTGACCCAAGACTGATGCATTATCATGTTTAGTCCTGAGCGATTCGGTATTATCCAGAAGAGATGGAAACATAATTGATCGGTTTCCATCTCGCAATATTAAGCCGTGGCTTCCATTTGATAGCTTGTTCAATGCTTTCACATTACTGGTTCTCTTCACTCTCTTTATCATAGATGGAGCCGCGGGGTCGTTGCGATTAAACTTAGGGTGCGAGTCTGTATGTGATTCGAATATGTCAGTGGAATAATACCGTCGAAAGATGAAACCTACGATTGACAAAAGTTTTCAACTTACAAATCCCAGTTTGTCTTCCCGTTCTAACGCAATCGAATCCATGAGCACACAAGGCTCGAGTAAAGCTAGCATACTTCTGAGTATTGAAATACTTGGGAAGCATTTCACGTTCAAACTGTTCCAAATCGTGTACTTTCAGGGCTGTCCCATCGTTCATCCATGAAACTATGTGTTCCTGATGGTTCTCTTCACAGAGATTCAGCACGTTGTAGACTTTTTGAGGGAAAGAAAGACGACTGCTGGCCGTTTTAGTAGCTTTTGGTTTGGTCTCTGCCATTCTCATTATAAAGTGTAAATGGGGAATATGGTTTGTGCTGCTGTGTAATATTCATCATCCACCTATCAAAATTGACTTGTAATCCTGAACAGAAGTTTCACTGCAGGATGTCAACGCATAGTTTCAACTTGAAGTGGAATTCAATATTCCATGGAGTTCGCCCGAATGAGGCAGTGGGAATTCCCCCTTTTCAATTTATTTCATCCCCGCGATATTTAACGCGATTTGGAAGAGTTTTTTGCCAAAAATTCCCACAACTACTGTACGTGTACCGGTAGTTGTATGAATCGGAAAAAATAGTTGTGTGAAATTCCTACAAGGAATTTCCCTCAACTAGTTGTGGGAATTTCTGTTGCTTAGCTGTTCGTTATTTTTGCCTTAAATGTATCATGAAATATCGGCTCATATCTCATATTTCATAAATGGGGTTGGGTATTTTTGAAAACCGCCGTATTTTTCGTACCACCTCTACGTGTCGGTAGCTTTCCTCATGAAATATCGCGAGATATGAATATGACGGAGGGCAGACCATTAGTTTTTGAAAATAAAAAATAAAGCACTTCTAACCCGGATATGTCGCTAGCTCTTTTGTCGTGGGAGCTGGACTGGTCTGAAGCATTTTGTAATATGTGTCATTGTTTTGCATCGACATCATATCAGCTTCAAGCTTGCAGACAAAAGCCAAGGAAAACAAACAAGCAGCACCACAACAGTTGCGACCTAGTGAGATAAAGATGACGACACGACAGGCGCCTGAAGCGAGAGCGGCAGACTCCAGCGCAACAAGCAGCACAACAAGCAGAGAATGGATCATCAGCTTCAACAATACGCCAGCATTGTGGATTCGGAGTCAGGATTTTTGTTGTGAGAGACATGCAATCGATCGAGAGGTCCTATGGATCGATAGAAGCGCAACCACTCCCAACTTCGCGCTTGTTGAAAGTGGTTTTAACAACTTGATCGCATCATATTGTGATTGAATCGACATCATCCTGGAAAGGTCAATCAAGGCATGAGAGAACAGTCAAATCTACCAGTTGAGATTATCGCTGCGATTCTAGTGAAGTATACACTTCTCTGAGGCTTGCGACAACTAGCCTGTGCAATTTGCTGATTATCTGGACCTGAAGCATCAATCGGCTTGTTGTTTGGGAAGAAACATAAAGGGCGAACGCAAGGCTCGATTTCATCGCAAATATACTACGTGTGTATGCAACGATCGAAGACACAATAATCAACATTTGTTGGGAAAGATTAAAAAACAACAACAAACGCAGAATCCCGACTGGGCTCCGTTGTGACCAATTTTTTTTCCAGGTCAGTGTTTTGAACGAAGCTGTCTACTATCGTATAGAAAGACGCTTGCAGAGCTCTTTGTGAAAAAAATTCTGACGAGAGAATAGAATAGAACAAATGAGGACTTGATTCCGCCAATGCGGAGACAATGACTTGACTTAAACAATGACAAGACGACACTCAAACTGGATACTACTGTTGAAGACAAACATTATAGTCAATAGAGAATCTAGCTAGAAGCTTGAAAAATACGTTCTACTGTTATATGTTTCCATCACCATGTAGCGCTAGTCATTCCGGTTGGCCAATATACTGTCACATTCTCTAGGAAGGCTAGAACTTGTTCAACTGGAGCTGCAGTGGTTTGGTTAGGTTGCATCCATTCTGGAAAAGCAGGTTTGCGGATGAGATTGCAAGTCGCAGGTATGGAATGTTTCTAGCTTGCTTATTCTTTATATTTGATGATCCAGGACCATCCAATGTACCGGTAGAACTGGATCTGCCTGATTATTATTAAGCACTGGTGCTTGGCAAGTCTCTCATATCCCCTGGAACTCTCCCCTCATATATATTTTGATTTGCTTTTTGAAAGAAAATAGCCCGGATTTGGTTCCAGCTGACGACATGTACACGTACGTAGAAGCTGGTAGTCGTGAGATGATTTGCAAACCCCATTTATCCGATATGTGCCGGAAATTGGGAAACATCCCGGTGGTTTTCTGTGTAGAAATGACAGTTTTCCCACAACTGTTGAGGGAATTCCCACAACTAGCTAGTTGTGGGAAGCAAAATTGAAAAATTGAGTTCGAGTAGTGGGAAAAATTGAGCTGTGGGAAAATCTCGCAACTACGAGGGGAGAAATCCGGGGATTCCCACTGCCTCAATCCCAAAACACCTTGAAACTGATTATTTTTCCAAATTTTAACTTATATATGCCGAGCTTTTCAATCTGCGTGTTTTTTTCTGAACTGGCGGAAAAAGCAACAGTGTCATGCTCTGATTATCCGGAAAAAGGCCCGCGAGTCCCCCACTTTTTTAAAAAGACGATGTACAGTATAGTGTAGCTTCTGTAACACGAGGAGATGAAACTGTTTTATAGGAACTACAATGGCAAAAAAATACGAATGGAAGAATCAGGCCGTAGTAGGTTGTTATTCGGGCAGTCTTGCGGAGGAAATTTGCAGTAAATAGTCAATTAGATATGCTTCTTATGGCCATTCTGGTCTTCCAATCTTGCAGGAAGTGAAAGCAACAACCTGTACGATTCGCATGCGAATAATGGTGTCAGGTTCATGAAGAAAACTCCAGTCACCTTCAAATTCGAGATATCCGTATAATGCCCGAGGCAAATGCAGAGAAACGCAATCAAGTACCCCCAAAAGATCAGCCTCGCGACATCTGCGATCCACCATTCTCCATGAACAAAAGGCACAACCTTTTGGCTTTTCATGTGATAGTGCGACTTTAGACAAATCACAAGGTAGAGCGGTTGTCCGCTGGCAAAGATCATGGCCGCCATAACACTTGAAGATCCAAAGTAATCTGGAACCAACATCATCGCCGAGAGGAGAGAATGGGTCCACATGATGTCCATGAAAATATGCTTCAGCATGCTGATCTCCGGACTCAAAACCAAAATTCCTGTATTTGGTCCAAAATCAGTATATAAGGATTGTATGGTGTGCCCAACAATGAGAAAGGTTGCCCAGCACATTCCAAACGTTGAAATATCCGTGAAATAGAAAAGAGCAGGTAAAGAGAACTGAGATGAATAGTCGTACAACGCTTGGTACCTTGGTTTTGGAAACGCTGGTAGGATGTTGTAAAATGCATTCAAATCGTCTGGATTTCTTTTCATCTCCTGAATACTTCGTGGCTCCATTGGACTTGGCGATGCCTCATCTTTGGAACGATCAGCACGTACATCGGAAGTCTGCGTTGAAGTGTGCGGTGACCAGGGTATCGGCTCAAAATCATCTTCTTCATACCCCTCTAAATCGTTTGTGGAATGGTAAGAACTAAACCTCGCAGCTAATTCTGATTGTGATTGTTCACCCGTGGTACTGTCATCGCCACTTTCGTCTGAACTGACCAAATGTGTCCCTGGTGGAAGGCGTATGAGCGCATGTGTTGTTCGATCAGCTATTGCAGACCGCGTCCTTTGATACAGCTGAGCCAAACCTGATGCGTTATCATCTTCAGTCATGAGCGATTGGGTGTTGTCTAGAAGAGATGGACACATAATTGATCGGTTTTCATCATCTCGCAAGTAGTAAGCCGTGACTTCCATTTGATAGCTTAGCCTTCGCATTGTTCGTTTTCTTCACTCTCTTGATCATAGACGAAGCCGCGGGGTCGTTACGATTAAACTTGGGGTGGGAATCTGCAAAGTAGTTGTTAGAGAACTTGCCTGAGGAAGTTGAAGCTTTCGAAATGAATCTTACGACAAAGAATTTTTCAACTTACAAATACCAGTTTGTCTCCCCGTTCTGACACAGTCAAATCCATAGGCACACAATGTTCGAGTAAAGCTAGCATACTTCTGAGTGTTGAAGTACTTGGGAAGCAATTCACGTTCAAACTCTACTACATCATGTACTCTAAACGCCGTCCCATCATTCATCCATGATGCGATATGTTCCTGATCATTCTCTTCACAGAGTTTCAATACATTGTAGACTCTCTGAGGAAAAGAAGGACGAGCGCTGGTCGTTTTAGTAGTCTTTGGTTTGGTAATTGTCGTGGTCATCTTTCAAACAGGTCTGAATGGTAACTCATCTATGCGGGAGAGTAGTAGTTCCAGCTGATGATGATGATAAGTCCAGCGTCACAGTTCCGCTTCGAACATGTTTAAATGTTCTGTGAAAACGAATGATTCGATTCTATGTCTGGGGAAGGATATTCAATATTATATATATGGCGTCATCTAATTCTGGGGATATTCGTATATATATATATATATATATATATAATATGAAATCTCCCAGCCAGCCGCGCTTTTTGCCCCAGTACACGTGTATTTTATCATTATCGGACTGCATACCGGTACAATTTTCCCATCCACTTTTTTATTTTTCAAGCAATTTAAGAAGGAAGATGATCGAAACTGTACCGGTACACGTGTACTGCGCATACCGGTATGAATGTGTCCAAAACATTTTGTGTGAGCAGTCGATTGATTGATTCGTTCTTTCGAGAAACATCACAATGCGAAGGAGAGGAGGAGTTGCTTGTTTCAGTGAATGATCAACTATTTCCTCTCTTGCTTCACCATCATTCTGATATTTCATTCTTGCTTCATGGGAGATCGAAAGCAGCAATCTCAGGATTTACAGAAGAAACGTGGCTGCCAGAGTAATGTTTTATAAAAAATGAGAGCTTATCCCTAAAAATACGCGTAGTGCCATTTTTCCAGAATTCTCAATAGATAAATTGGTGGCCCTTTCGGCAGTTATGATGATTGCAAGGCTGCTTTCTTAGGAACGTTGAGGCTGAAATAAGGTTGCAGTTAAGTTGCGTCTATTTGTATTTCTTATCGCCATTCTCAGCTTCCAATCTTGCAGGAATTGAAAGCAGCAGTCTGTACGATTCGCATGCGAATAATGGAGTCAAGTTCAGTGCGAAGGTTCCAATCACCTTTAAAAACGCAATTTGGGAATAATGTCCCAAGCAAATGCACATCATAGCAATGAAGTACCCAGCGAAGATCCATCTTAGGATATCTGCAATCCACCATTCTCCGTGAACAAAAGGCACGTCCTTTTGGTTGTGATAGTGCGTCTTTAGACTAGTGGCAAGAAAGGGTGGTAGGATGCTGATAAAGGTAATGGCCAGCATTACACTCGATGACCCAAAGTATTCTGGAACTAATACCATTGTCGAAAGGAGAGAATGCGTCCACATAATGTCCATGAAAACATGCTTCAGCATGCTGATCTTCGGACTCAAAACCAAGTCTTGCGTGTTTGGTCCAAAGGCAGTAAATAAGGCTTGAATGGTATGCCCAACAATGAGGAACATTGCCCAGCACATTCCAAATGATGAAATATCCATCCAGTAGAAAAGACAAGGTAAAACAACTGGAGATGAAAAGTCGTACAGGGCTTGGTACCTCGGCTGTGGAAACAATGGTAACATGTTGTAAAATGCATTGAAATCGTCTGGATTCCTTTTCATCTCTTGAATGCTTCTTGGCTCCATTGAACTTTGGGATGCCTCATCTTCGAAATGATCAAGTGTGCTCTGTGATGAAACGTGCGCTGGCAAGGGTACAGGCTCGAAATCATCATCATAATCATCGAAGATTGAATCCAAATTCTGATCGGTATGCTCCTGTTGGTTTTGCTGGTCTAAGGTTTCCCTATTGTTGTCTGAAGACATGTTGTAGGAAATAGAAGGTACAGCTGACGGAGATGGCGTGATTGGCCCATCCGAACTGTCATTGTCACTTTCGTCTGAGCTGATGAGCTGTGACCCTGGTGGAAGACGGATAAGCACATATGTTGCTCCATCGGTCATTTGAGACCGAATCGTTTGGTACAGCTGACGAAAAACTGATTCATTCTCATCTTCATTCAGGCGAGATCGGTTATTGTCTGGAAGGGATGGAAGCAAAATCGATTGCTCTCCATGCCGCAATGATGAACCGTGCCTTCGATTTGTTGATCCACGATTATTCGCTGTTTTCGCTTTCTTCTGTCTCTTTATCAGAGACACAGCCTCCGGTTCGTTCCGAATAAACTGAGGGTGCGAGTCTGAAAGCTGTTAGAATTTATCTGGGGAAGCTCCACCTAAAGCTTGAAGATGAAGTTTTACGATAAATATATGTGCTTTCTACTTACAAATCCCGGCATGGCTTCCTCTGCTGACACAACCAAATCCATAGGAACACAATGCTCGCGTAAAGCTAGCATATTTCTGCGTATTGAAGTTGTTGGGAAGCAGTTCACGTTCAAATTGTTCTACATCGTGTACTTTGAAGGCTGTCGCATCATTCATCCATGATAAGATGTGTTCCTGATCGTTATCTTCACAGAATTGCAGCACGTTGTATAATCTCTGAGGAAAGGAAGGGTGGCTGCTGGTCGTTTGATTAGCTTTTGGTGTTGTCTCTGCCATGCTCATCGTTTCTAAAATATCGTTGTATTCGTTCAGATGTCTTTCATCGGACCATGCTGCTGAACTTTTATATATGCGATGAGAGGGTCTGATCAGAAGTACACCGGTCTTTTTATCGGAAGATCTATGAACCATCAAAAGTATTCTACCGGAAACAATCTGAGAGCAAGTCAATCAATCAAAAGAATAGAATCAACTCAAAGCATGATAACACCAAACAAAAACTTGACTGCCGGTGTCAATGATTGGCGCTACAATAAAAGGCTCTTTTAAAAAGAGGTTTTAGGGTGCAGGTGGATATTTAATCTGAGCTACAACAACAAGGTACTGCTAGATACTGGATACTCTTACCGTGTATGATGTTGCATGAAGAAAGGAGTCTAGAAGGTCCGTACAGGGAAAAAGTGGAGACAGACTGTTCCTATTGATGACTTCTACAGGAGCAGCCGAGATTTTACATCCCACGTTGCGGCCGAATCTCTGAACTACAAGTATGGCCGGTGAGACGAAAACGAAGCTGTAGACAATAGTTATTTATCTGTGTTTCTTATCGCCATGCTGAACTTTCAATCTTGCAGGAATTGAAAGCAACAATCTGTAGGATTCGCATGCGAATAATGGTGTCAGGTTCATGAAGAAAACTCCAGTCACCTTCAAATTCGAGATATCCGTATAATGCCCAAGGCAAATGCAGAGAATCGCAGTCAAGTACCCAACGAAGATCCATCTCACGATGTCTGCAATCCACCATTCTCCATGATGAACGAAAGGCGTGCCCTTTTGGATATTCATGTGATAGTGCGTCTTTAGACTAGTCGCAAGGTTGGGCGGCTGGGTGCTGATAAAGGTTATGGCAAGCAGAACGCTCGATGATCCAAAGTATTCTGGAACAAATACCATTGCCGAGAGGAGAGAATGCATCCACATAATGTCCATGAAAATATGCTTCAGCATGCTGATCTTCGGACGCAAAACCAAATCTTGCGTGTTTGGTCCAAAGGCAGTAAATAAGGCTTGAATGGTATGCCCAA